CTTATTTAAGAGTCCTTATTTCGCTCTGAAGATGTACACTGCTAAACGGTAAACAAAAGTACACCCTGTATTGATATAAAAGTTTATATATATATACGTAAGAAGTATAAAGAGAATCAAAGATAGATATTTTGTATATCTTACATAATATAAATGAAGACTCTTTATGAATTCTGATTCGTGTATTGGATAACTAAAATGGCTTTAAGTATTGTTACAAGATATCCACTATAAATAAAAAATATTTTACGAGATATAAAGATACATAATTATTTGATATATTTATTTAATAATTCGATAGAATAGATGATAGTTTTTGCATATAATAACACCATTATCATTAATCTTTCGTCTTGTAATATATCGATGTTGCTCCTTGAGTAAATATGTTTGTTAAGGTTTGCTAAGGGATTCTACCAATAATCAGTTTAAAGCAGAAATGAGAGAAGAAAACAATTCCATATTCCCTGATGTTTCTAGGAACCTTCGTTATTTATACCAGTTTTTCTCAAGAGCAATCTTAAACTTTGTAGAGAACATTTTTACTCAGTAGTACTGTAGAACTGTTCCACGGTCCTAAAGCCTTAAGAACGGCATACTAAACAGGCGATAGTGAATAAAGCATCAAGAGTGTATTGAGAGAGGGGGAAGGAACTTATCGGGAGATACTTAATTTCGTCGGCTCGACCATAGTAAAACGCGGTGCACACGCGATAAATCAGACGTAACGGTCGTAAGCAGCTTCCCGGAAAAATCCCTCGCTGCAGTGCCGCTGTGTATCGAGCTGATCTTTTTGCTGGGAAGATATATTTTCCAATTTCCGAATGACGTCGCCCTCGGGGGGAAAATCTCGGCACGATCGGATAACAGTGAGTTTCTATATCCGCGAGTCGCTAAGAGTCCGCCATTTAAGTCACGAGATCAAGCGGTTGCCGATTCATCTTGGCTTTACTGCTGTAACAATGTAAGTACTAAAATAAAAATCAAGTACCTTGTAAATTATTTCAAAAAGAAGCCAATTCATCCAATATATACAAGAGAAAAGTTTTTAGTATTGTATTTTTGTGACTACAACTAAAATTTATATAATCATTTTCGTAAGAATAACAATATTCTTTTTAGTATATAGAATAATAAATAAAATTATACATATTATTATTAATATTATATAATAGTAATAATAATAAAAATGGAGCTCTTAATTATAATTATTTAATTATACCATGCAGTTACAATCACAAATAACAAAAACTTTTCTCCTAGTGTAGCGAGTTGGATTCAATTAAACAATCAAGGCAATCTGACTTGTCTGAAGAAACAGATAGACAAAGAAATAAAGTTCAGAATTTACCCGATGTGCGATGAATTGGATTAATTAAAAAAATCATAATTACTTTTTTTACTGTTTTTATATTATTTTATTTTAACTCTTTAATCAAAAGACGGTTTATTAAATTATTAATAACGTGATTATCGTCTTCAATAAGAAAAATTACTAGTATTAAATAAGTTATTGGTAATAAGTTATTAATAAATTTAAATATTCGTAAGTAGAGAGTATTTTACAGCTTCTTAATTTTTATTGATAAGATTAATTAATTGTAACATATGCATTTGATATGGATGGATTTGATATGTTTTAAAATATGCACAATTTTAAAAACTTTAAAAGAATTATCGTCAAGATTCTTTGTGTTTTATAAATTTATTATTAGAAGGATATAAGCAGAAATAATTTCCTAAAATGTAGTATGGTAAAACGGAAGAAAGATATACGGTAGATGAATAATAAAGCAATTTATAAATTAATATTTAAAAATCATGTTGAATATTTAAATGTAGGTAAGTTTGACATTTAAATGAAATGCAATATTAAATTTGAAATTAACCATTTAAATATATGTTACACTATTAAAATTCACATGTGTACTTTTTTCTTTGTATTTAATTAAACAAACTGTAAGATTTTTAAGTTTTGACTTTTTAAGTCTGTTTTCAGAGAAACATAAAGTTTAAGTACCTGCAATAATGTAAATTAAAAGTACATACATGGCGTTATAGCATAGTATTAGCTATAGAATAAATTGTAAAGAATATTAAGTAGCAAAGATATTAGAATACAATTTTGTATTTTCATTAAAAATGTCTATCATCTATAATTAAGACTAGATATAGCAGATGAAATGATTTGATACGCGTAGATTGTAAATAAGAGTGTTAAAACGTGAAACAGTAACAATGACAAGAAGCGAAGTATCTCGTGATTAATTAGCACCATCGTCGTAACTGACATAAATCCCAATGGACGCGCTATAAGGGGCGGCTGCACCCGATGACAAGATTTCAAATTTGATGAAAGCTGAATAGAGCATGCCCAATATAAGGATGAAGAGGATAAGGTGAGATAAAGAGAATAAATGTGGTGTATACAGACGTGACGAAGGAAAATACTACGAGAGAAGAGGCGGAATCCTTGTTTTAAAGAGAGAAGAACGTGTTGCAAAGTACGGAAATATCCGCCGGGGATTTGAAGTTCAGTAGAGCATTAATTAAACTACCTCGCTAATTTCCGGAACTTATAAACCGACGGTTTATTAATTTCCCTCGCGTTTAAAGGAATAAGCGCGGTATCGAAGTTTCTTGCAGCTCAGGTGATTTTCTGTGTCGTGTAATTGTACATTAATTTTCTTCACCAAGAAGAAGGAATCTGTAAAATCTTTGCGGGAATTTATTCAATGGATTTCATATTTAATTATAAATTTTATTTCTTAGAAGAAGAAGATCCTTGTAATCTTTTTTTAGGATTAAACAATTCTCGATGGCGGAAAATTGAAAGTTGTAGATACGGCGCAGAAGATATTCTTATATACGGAGATGTTTCTCATATACGCTGCTCTTGGAACATCATATTTCGGAGTTAACAGTACGTTTGACGCGTACACGAAGATCTTCTAAATTCAAAGATTGGAAAGATGGTATATCTATAGTTATCGAATCTCATTAAAGTCATAATGATAATGTGAATGCATACAAGTCCATTCAAGTATTATATTAAATATTGATGAAGTATCGACATTCAATCGAGAATTGTTTGTGATTCATACGGCCGAGTAGTTCATTCACAATTATGCTTTAAATGAGATTTAAATAAATTAAAGACAATAACTGATATATTGCAATGCATGAACCGTTTCGCAATTGTCATTAAACACTGACAATTTATTGTTTAAATATGAGTCTAGTACTTAGTGCTAGTTTCTCGCTGACCTATATTCTAACATAAATATAGATACATGTTAAACGAACGTAAGTAAAGATTTACGAACTAACTTCATGATTTGGGTACTGAGCGACTTTACTAGTGATGAATATCTTTTGTTTGTGTTTCATAAAAGATAAACGGTAGGACATATTTAAAAGTAGATAACAGCAGCCATTTACATGAAAATATATTTACTTTTTACATCGACTGTATGTCTTCGGAAAGTAAAATTTTACATCCATCGATCTGCATAGAGACTTAATAAGAAAAATTTAACAATTTAATAAGAAATATAATTAAATTTAAGTACCTATTATTATGCATTTATATAAAAATAGTGCTACATTATGTTTCTACAAAGCAATGATATTTTAATAATTCTGATTTATTTATTTTTACATTATGTAAATTTTTTAATTAATTATTTTTTATTTTAAAATTTATAGAATAGATATTATATTTTTATTTTTCTGGGAAAAGTTTACATTTTTTATAATTAATTCGATTATCTTAATTTGATCGTCTCTATAATTTTATAATTACATCTTTAAATGTCGTAATGGCAGTTCGTAATATTTTATTCTATTTTTTCATAACGTTCGGATACAGACTGTACTTAGTTAATTAATGATGCGAAAAAAATCATATAATGCGACATCACTATTGCCTGCAAGACATGCGAGAATGTTCGATATTTGTACGTATGCTATCAAGGCCCATAATACGTATTCACGTATATAGGACACCCTCTGATTGAAGATACACAGCTTCCGGCAATTAGCGATGCCCGGGTATGTTCATCGAAAATTTAGATTAAGGTAAATACCGAACTTGGCAATATCCCCGAAACTTAGGCGTCACGGTAATTTATTAACAGATTCGGGCACAGGCAGGACGGAGTAAATCCGCTGAATATGTGAATCGGTGATTACTGAACTCACAAACTATGACTGCATCTCCGGATCTTCACTAATTCCTTCCAGATAAATATACATGTACATCACGTCTGTGCACGTTCACACAGGTATTACGTGATATAATTAGAAAGTAGGAAAAATTTAGTAAATTAGCACACCACGCGTGCGTCTTTCATAATTTTCGAAGATTACATTATCGTAAATAATATTATTTCAGAATGAAACATGAACTTGTAATATTTGTTTTGTTCACCTCGTTTTTTAGTTTTTTCTATATTACTTTTCAAGTACAATCCAATTTTCTTTATTAATTATGTAAGTATATGTAATTGATTGAAAAATGTAAAGAATTAATTTTTTAACAATGCAATAATTTAAACCTTTAAATTATTATGTTTTGTATAATACGGCTATTCACATTTTTATATAATTTATTAATGATTTTTCACATTTCCCTTTTGGCGAAAGAGGCCACCATTTTTTAGCGATTTCTGACAAGCAATTTAGAAGACAGGATCATATCATATATACTTACATACATACACAAACAATTTTACAAATATCTTTGAAAAAATAGACACTACTTTCTCTATTTGGTTCTAACCAAAATAAAATAGCGATCACATGACTTTCACGTGAAAACCAAAGATACTGACA